TAGCAGTAGCAGTAGAAGAAGTAGTAGTAGTAGTAGTAGTGGTGGTAGTAGTAGTAGTAGTACTAACACGACGACGACAACAACGAGGACCCCGGGGACGACGACCTACGACCACTACTGCTACCACTGCTTTGCGATTTACTGCCCCTCCTACTATTGCTGCTGCCCTGACTATTACTGGTGGTGGTGCTGCTGCTGCTACTGTCACAAAACTACTTTCACTACTACCACGGGTCAACACCAGTACTTCTTCTCTTCTGCTGTGATTGGTAATGCTGCTCTTCCTTTCTTCTGCGAAACTGCGTGCCCACTGCCCCTTGTTCATGATGCTTGAAGAACCGTCATGAAGGCGACTGAGACTGTGCACTAGTCTATGACCATGGTTACTGGTTGCAGTCTCCGACATTGCTGGCCTTGAGGGAGACGGGCATAACATACTAGGCCACCAGCCAGCTTAAGGGTCACAACCCCCCCCATCTCTCAAATGTAACCTTGAGTCTCAATGTTAGTGTCCCGTCCTTGCCGCCTTTCCAAGCTTTAGGGTGCTGCTTTCCAGCAGTGCTTCCCCCCTGGGAGCTGCCGGCCTGCAGACCTTTCGCAGGTCCCTGCAGCTGCTGACACCCAAAGACAAACCTCGGGGCGCCCGCAGACCAGGCTTGAGTTTTTTTTATTGATGCACTCGGCTTGGGACGATTGCTGTTGGTTTCGGGCATCATTGTGGTGTAGGTCTTGTATAGTATAGGGTTGGTTCAGAAGCAGTGACTCCGTGGGAGAAAGCGCGACCCCGTGTAAAGGATCTTGCGTGTGTAGTTCCCCTGGCCATCCAGGATGCCTTCGGGCATCTTCGGGCAGATGCCGACAAAAACGTATCAAGAAGATGCATCAGAGTTCGAGGAATCGGATACGAGGGTCGGCTGTGATTCTCAACTTCATTGTCCATGTTGTGCTCTTGGGATCTCTGGTCCACCAGTCTCGTCATAGCGCGAGAGATACTGCAAAGAGCCAAACCAGTAAGTCCGCTGGCAAACGGATATCTCGGGTCTCTGACACCCCCTAGCGATGATCACTCGAAGGGGTGGACGAAATGGCTCAAACGCGCAGACAGATGAATCGATGTGGGGACCCCAAGGTTAGGCGTTAGGCGCAGCTTGATGCGAAAGCTTACGAGAGCCAAGCCATTCAAACATAATGTTCAAGGTGATTACAAGACGGTGCTTACAGGAGAGCTGAGGAACCAGTTTGTCAAGTAAAACCTTACACCGAAAGCCATTGTGGAACTTGCGTCGTTTCAGCTTCCACTTGCTTGCAGCATCCTCGAGCCAAGCAGCTCATCCAAGGAGATCTCCCCGGAGGCGTCAGCGTCAACCACCCTGCATGCAAAGCAAGAGGCAGAATCGTGCTCTGACAAGTCTCGAAAACTACATCCTCGTGATCTCGATCGCCCTCCTCCTACTCTTCCTCCCCTATACGCTATCTGACAGTGCTGGCGATGGCGATGATGGCGATGATGATAACAGTGATGAAAATTTTGATGCGAATAACAAAACGGTTTGTTACAGGCGGCTGCTATTCTTATGTTGTTCGTGGTGATACGGCAGTTCCACCAACTACACAGCACTAGCGCCAACAGTTGGAGAAACGGGGCCCGAATAACGCCCACAGCTGATTGCAGAAGTATAGGCACAAACATCTTTTCCTCCTCCTCCTCATCATCATCACCATCATCACCATCACCATCACCATCACCATCGTCGTCACTATTGTTGCTATGAGTTATACGGTATAGCAGCACAAACAAGAACATCACGAAACCAGCACCACCCACACACCAGCAGCAGCCACGACAATAGCAACAGCGAAAGCAACAACCACAACAGGGGGATCAACACCTCCTACTACTACTACTACTACTACTACTACTTCTACTTCTACTTCTACTAGTAGAACCACATCCACAACAAGAACCACAACGACAACCACTACCACAATCACAAGCACAACCACCGCCGCCACACCACAACACAACAACAGCAACAACACCAGCAGCAGCAGCCGCAGCGGCAGCAGCAGCAACAACAACAACAACAACGAACGAACGAAGACGACGACCACTACTACAATTCCTCCTACGCCTGCTCCTACTCCCCCTGCTCTTTCTCCCAAACCTCCTCCTCCTCCTCCTCCTGCTCCTACTCCTGCTGCTGCTGCTGCTGATGCCGCCGCTGCCACCACTGCACCACTCAGCACTGATGCCTACGAAACCCACCAATTTACAAAAACGAACACAGATTGTACAGGTACTCGTGCTGGCGACAAGACGTGCCGAGGTTGAAGGATGTTGTAGATGTTGTAGGACATTGTATAATGCACAGTCAACTTGCTAGCAATGAAGCTCCTACTGTCACTGTGTATCACCTGTGGCTGTTTTTGTTTATTCCTCTGTCTTCGTGCAACGCCATGATTGCTACGACCAGCTTCCCACAGATGTGCCAAAACACCTGTAGGCCGCCCTATAAAAGGCCCTGTAAAGGCCACGAACACCTGAAGCTCCAGAACTTTCAACCGTAGCCTATATCACAAAAAATTCAGAGCCAAGAAGCATGAAGAGGGTCCAAACGTCTTGAGTTGAGATGTTCATGGACTCCATGAAGTTCTTAAGCTTGTGGCCTCTTAAGGCGTCCTGCGGGCACGGCTTCTACACATAATCCTGGTTCATCAAGTAGCCTCGAAAAGAAATCTATACTTGAATGGTTTCCCCCCCTGGCTTGCACAACACATCCAAACTTAACTAACACGAGGTCCAAACATGCGGGCTGCAGGGCGCCTGCAACATGCTCACTCGCTGCTAACTTCTATCTCAGCACCCAACACCATGTCACTCGGCCGGAAACCCTGTTCTTGGGTACTCAGCTTGGCAGCATCTTAGGGTCATGCAGCACAGCCTGCAAAACAACAAAACAACACGGCCATCAAACGCTCAGACGTGCTTCCTTTCCCAGAACGCATGATAGCACGCCCGGACCTTCAGCTCTGCTAGGGTGATCATGTTCGAGCAGTCCGTATCAATCTCTGCGAAAATCTCCTTTAAAGACCTGAGAAATTTCGGGCATCCGGAGACTTCGAAGTTCCGCGAAGCAGAAACAGTACTCCTTTTGGCTTTCGATGTTCTGCTTGTACCGTCTAGTGATTTCAGCGAATCGTACTAGATTGGTAGACATTGTCAACTGCATTTACCTGCAAGCCCGCTGAAACCATCTCGAATGTATCTCCTTCACTTGATCAATGTGTTTCACAAGGACAGGCTTATTCTCGAATCGTGAGAAGGCCTTTAAACATCTTGCTCGTCCTTATGGCTTGACATGACTCGGATCACGTCTAGCAAGTGCACACGTGTCCATGTTGCACTCTGCTCTCCAAACCGTTCTTGAGGGTTACATAAAAATCGCTGCATAACTTGAAACATCCCAAAACATGACCCCGTCCCGGGCAGCCTTCAAACCTTACCAAACCAATAAGGGGACAACCATCGGGCTGGGCTCTGCGACTGGACTTGCGCTTCATGCTTGTGCATCTGCTTCATGATGGCGATGTCCTGATATGTCGATGGTGAAAACCGTCTGTGTAACGATGCCAGTGCAAAGCGCAGCCAAACACAGCTAGTTACAAGAACTACATGGCCGATCCGCGCTTCGAGTCGTGGCTCTAAGCCTCTAAGATTTGCATGCGCGGCCTCATCCAGATCGGATGCCTTAGCATTGGATCAGCACCCATTCCGCGGTCCGAAAATCAGGTTCGCTCCTTGTCAGCAGCAGCGCTTTCTATGGCCGTGTTGCAGAAGACCTGGAATGTGTGCGAGACAACAGGAATCGTTTCGCTTGTGCCAACCATCAGCAGGCTCCATGACAGTGGTCGATGCAACACTTGCAAGACATGAACCAACAAATGGCAGGGTTTCAGGTCAAATGACATCGCCTGAACGGAAACATAGAAGTTTAATTACACGGACTCCCCCAAAACGAAACTGTTGGACCGCTGCATCATTGCCTGAACCCTCTATCCTGATATCCGAAGAGCGTCATGTTCCTCGCCGGACGACCAAACGTTAGCATAACAAACAGTTTAATTTAGAAAGCAAACAAGACCTATGGTGCGGGGACTTCGCATGCTGCATATTCCGGTGGAACTTGCGCTTCATGCGCTGCATGTCTCATCACGCATGCCGCTGTGTGCAGTAAGCTTTCCTGACCACCCGGAATAACGACATGCCTGCTTCACCAACCGACACGACAAATTGCACTACAAGAGACTCGGTAACCGCAATAAACCGACATGTCATGGCCATTCTGACAGTTATCCTCGGCAAACTTGCACAGCAACTATCAACCTCATTCCGTCTTGGGTCCTACAATATGCTACAACACCCCGAAACAAAGTGTTCCAATGATCGGCCAACGGGCTCCGGTCACCACATTGAGCACAGCGAAGATCGTGATCACGATGTACCTCGCGATGAACTCTTTGGTCCCATAAACCACACTGGAATGACATTGCTCAGTCGTCAAACTTCATGTGCAGATGTGCAAGTTGTCAAAATCTTCTAACCATCATCTCCAAAGCAATTTTGCAACCATCACACCATCAGGATCGTACGTCGTATGTCGACACATGAGGTGCAGGAATTTTCGCTTCGTCACATCTCCAGCTGATATTGTGCAGACAAATTTTGGGAATTTTACCGGAGGCTCGAGTGCGTCGAAGGTGGGGAAAAGGCCTCGACAAAACACTTGCTCAGTCTTCTTCTTGCTTGAATACAAGACACACAGCTCGAGGTTTAGATTTTCCATCTGGAGACAAGTGTGGCATGCAGAAGTCCAAGCAAGGAAAACCAACAAGCGCAGCAGTAGCCCGTGAATTTCCAGAACGTGATGCTGGTTAGAGCCGAGACACAGCACCAAGCTTACCACTGCCACAGTGGAAACCTTCCACAATGGATCCAGGGCATCATTCCAGCCTCGAGGTATGCAGGAGTCCCAGAGGTCTTCCAGTCATTGCTCCAACTGAAAGGATTTAACAATACTGCCGAGTGGCTTATACCTCCTGTGATCGCGAGGAAGAGCGTCAGCATGCAGTTGCGCACCCCAAACCAGTAGTAAACGAGCTCCTCGGCGCAGGGCCTCCTCTGCCCTAGCAGAGGCCACATGTATTTTGTACAAATACATATGGTATAAACATGTATATGTGCATATAACAGCTAGGTCCGCAGCTAGGTACTATATATGTGTACATGTATAAATAAATAAATAAATTGTATATATATACATACATACATACATACATACATACATACATACATACATACATATAAATATATATATATACACATTGCTGCTTGTAAGTTGTGTTGTGTCGTGTCGTTTTGTGAGTGAGAGTGTGTGAGTGTGTGTGTGCGTCTGCGTCTGCGTCTGTGTCTGTGTGTGCGCGCCTGTCTGTCTGTCTGTCTGTGCATCTGTGCGGTTGGGTGGGTGGGTGGGTGCGCGGGGGTGTGGGTAGTGACTGTGAGAGCTGATGCCAATGTCAATGCTTAAAATTTAAAGGTAGCCAGACATCGGCCGAAACGCCAACACAGCACAGTAATGCAATCTGCGCATGCATTTTAACAAGCATACAGTGCAGGACAAGACAGGACAGGACAGGTCAGCAGGGGGCAAGACAAAACCAAGCAGCACTATATAGCGCAGTATGATGACAATACTATACAGTACAATGCAGTGTGATGCTACACATGCAATGCAACGCAAGACTATACGATATCAGAACACAGACACACACAGCCATGCAAACAGCATACAGACATGCAATGATGCACGGAGGCGTAACTCACATATCATATACATGTGTATATTCATACATATAGACTTGCCGTCCGCCCGGACACGGACAGTTTCCCCGGGAGGTTTCCATGGAAACCTAGGCAACCCTCATAAAGGAGATCGGGGGGACCTGGTGTCTCAAACACAGAGCAGCACAGTGCACACGACCCTCATTGGGGTGATCAGCCTCCCCTGGCAACCTGCCAGTGTACTCGACACTCGCCATTAGTTCAGCAAAAAAAATCAGCAGGAGTCAAGCACCTGCTTTATGCAGTCTTCTAGACACATGGGCAAAAGCAGGGAATCTGGTCATCTGTGACATGGCCTCTAAGAAAGACGACGACGTGAGCTCCGTGGACTCGACAAGCGTTCACCGGTAGAGCTTGACAGCACAACAGTGCGGTTGCCATTACGTTCCAGTGCCGAGCGAGCATCCGCGGTACAAACTTCGCCACCTCTGCAGTAATCCGCCACGGACTGTGCGATGATCACGCCAAAGCCTTGCAGCCACCAATGTCTCATCAGACTTCAATTTGTCGCCAGAGCTTTCGTGAGATGAGAAGATAAAAATTATGCTTTGCGTTGGCCTCTAGATCCTGCAGCGAGAGGGGGCCTTTGCATGCTAGCTCAGTGCATGGTCTTCTATGCTTCACAATGTTTTGCAAACGTCCAGGGCCAACCCAGGAACCTCTGACTCCCTGACCTCATGTGCTCTGGCACAAGCTGGTGCGATGTATCACAGGCGCCGGAAGCGCTGGAACGCTACAAACGACCCACAACATAAACAAGCGGAATCCCTCCTACCCGACGCCTTTCTGGCCTACATCGGAAGAAAAAGCAAATCTGCATATAAATGCTATGCCATGCAGCACAATACTCTACGACACGTTGTCGCAAGTTGTATCATGTTTGGATATTGCCTAGTGTAACATAATGTCGCATGGTTGTAAATTACAAAGTATAGTTTACATCCTGCACATATATGTACACACTCAAACAAACAATAGTACGCATGTCGACACATGGACAGATAGACAGACTGGTAGGTAGATAGGTAGCTAATGGTAGGTAGACAAACAGACAGATAGATAGTTGGCTGGCTGGCTGGCCGGCTGGTGGTTAGCTAGCTGCCAAGCTACCTAGGTGGATTGGTAGGGAGGAGAGGACGAGCGAGAGAGAGAGAGTGAGATGGAGAGAGAAAGAGAGAGACAGACAGAGAGAGAGAGGGAGAGACAGACAGACAGAGACAGAGACAGAGAGACAGAGAGACGAGAGAGAGAGAGAGAGACACCGGCAGAGACAGAGACGGAGATAGAGACAGCGAACGTATGGGGGTCAGGCTACCTCTCCCGCTCCCAGCCCGGTGCTGGCAAGGGGCAGTAGAAGAGCATCTGAAGCAGCACCAGGGTCCACATCTCGGAGGGCCAGAAGAGATAGGCCGGCAACAAAGTGGGTGGGATGTCCAAAACCCAAGGGAAAACGCCAAAACGCCACAGAATTTTCAAGGACGCTTAGGCCAGATGCACCTTTCGAGTTGGAACTCACAACAGTGTCGCATAGCACGCCGAGAAGGTGATCCTCATGAGCTATATTGATATTCCGGGCGGACTTCATCCTCAGCCCACAGTTTTGGAGAGCCCTGTTAGCTAGGACCTTAGTTCGGACTTTCTGAGCCTTTTTGTTTAAACGCCCTTCGAAGGCGAGGGCTTGTTCCTTTTGTGCACAGGAAGAAGACCCCTCAGGGACTGTGAGCTTCTAGCCCAGGCACCAGGGAGCCCATGGTGCTAACAATCGAGAAGATGATGGTCCTCAGAGATCCGATGTACTTCAGCAGCTTCACCACCTGGTTGTCTGGTCTGCGGGGTCTTACATGCCAAGTGCCGGCAACCACAGAATGCTTAGGTGTGAGTTTATGTCTCAAGCTACTTCAAGGAGATCAACCTGGAGCGTCAGCCTGAATGAGAGTATCTGGTTAGCCGTTAGTCCCGAAAGCTGCTCGCAATGCAGAATCCTGCACTGCGGCATCCTAGACCAGGAACAAGACACCAAGCGCAGACAGTGCCGAACAACCGACAACTACGCTAAACTTCAGGCTTTGCGACTAAGTTGCACGCACGCCGCGTAGAGTCCTCGGAGACTGGGACTGGGTCTCTTGCAGCTGCATGGGGTTAAGCCTAATTACTTCATGTGCATTTACGGTGGTTTGACCACACAGCTGTTGCTGTTGCAGTTGAGCCACTCGCAAATCTTGACACATCTAAGGCTGAAGGCTCACAGATTCACATCAACGTACTTCCATCTGTTAAGCCATAGCCTGCCTGCCAACCATACCTGACAGAGCACCTCAATGCATGAGGGAGTGCGGTACTGTTAATCAGCAACTCGCAGGTTAGCCCTCCAGCGTCCCTCGCATGGCCTTACTGAGCAAAGAATGTTAACCTTGCCCACCGAGGCTCCGTGCTAGCCTTGCCAATCGCATGACTCGCAGTTGGTTGGCGTCCATCTGAGCGAAGAGGATGGAGCTGAGAAGCTCTACGACCTGAAAGCTCGGGAAGTGAAGATCTGTACGGCGTTGATGCTACAAGGTCCTGGCAGGCCTGTTGCTTTATCCCTCTCTCGCATCCTACCTCCGTCGTGCCACATCATATTCAGCTTCTGCTGCACCATGCACACTTTTCGGTGGAAAGCTTCCGCTTCAGAACAGGCGTAGAAGAGTCCGCATTCCGCGTGAGGTCCCTGGCCCCAGAGCCCCAGACAGTACAGTTCCCACAAAGGCCTAGTCCGGAAGCCTGAAGTTGCTATCAGTTCAGGCAAGGGGCCACCTCGAACAAAGACAAAGCAACAACGATCATGTCAAACCAGTTCCACATCTTCTCGATGCCCATGAAATATCCTCGGGCATGTATGAGATCGATTGCTCGCAGTCGGAGGGGCTTTGCGCAAAGCAGCGGCTTCGCTTATGTTTCATGCGCGGCACGTGAACTCGGATACCCATTCAGCAGTCCTTGCCACAAGCCTCCAACTGCAAACACTTTAAGGCAGCTCCGGCGAACTCGATCTCCGAAGCTGCAAAAGCGGACAGATATCGAAAGAAGATAATTACTGTGCAGTTAGTCGACTTTGGTAAGGGTCGGCTGGTTAACCGAAGATGCGAACCGCGAGCACAGACTTCACAGGGCTCCACCAACAATGTGCATAGATTTATCTGGCGACCGACCGATCTTTCCATTGTCTATCCATCCATCCGTCCATCCGTCAGCCCATGCATGCATCCCTCCCTCACTCCCGCCTTCATGGATTCCTCCTCCATAATCCCTCGATCCGTCGATCTGTCTGTCTATCGATAGATCCGTCTATCTATCTGTCCATCTATCGAAAAAGCTACTGTATAACACCCATCTCATCTAATCCATCTATCTGTCTGTCCATCCATCTCTTCATCTGTCTATCGGTCAATCTGTCTGTGTGTCTGTCTCTCTGTATATCTGTCGACCATGTATATGTTTATCTATCTATGTATCCATCTTTCTGTCTATCTACCTACCTGTCTGTCTCTCTATCTATCTATCTACCTATCTATCTATCTATCTATCTATCTACATTTATATCATGAGTCTTCGTGTATGTTTGTGTGCGACATATGTATAATATGTTTGTCCGTATGTACCTATGCATGTATCCATGTATGCATGTATGCATGCATGTATGTATGTATGTGTGTATGTATGTGTGTATGTATGTATGTATGTATGTATGTAGGTATGAACATTACATGTGTAAGTTTGTATGTGTAGGTGCAATTACATATGTATATTTGCATGTATGTGCACTGATGATGTGTACATATACGTATGCCTTGCATGCATACAAATCCACTTTGGCATACAGATGAACGTCTGTGAGTTTATACTGTATGTATCTGTGTCTGTTTGAACGTGTGTATCGGTCATCGACCGGTATGCACATATGCAGACACATGACAGCTCTCAATCTGTCCATGATTAGACCATGTGTCCTCTGCAGCCATACGCAACCAGCTTGAGCACCACTTCAGCGGTGAATACGGTAACGATCACAAGGTTGATCTCCGCGAAGAACGGCGGCGACTGATCACAGAGACAGAGTCAGCAAATGTCATAGGATTGAAGTCAAAGGAGCTAGCCCCAGAACAGGACATGTAGGGATCCGATTTAAGGGGGGCAACCCAAACAAATGTAGAGTCACGGAATGTGTCTGGTAACATCCCGACTGTCGCAATGGTGCTTGCATCTTCCGGGTGTCCTATGGCACACACGTCCTAGATTCTGGTTGGCCAACTTTTGCGGCGGAGCTGGCGTCCGCATCAGAAGGAGTTACGGGCTTAACTGAATAGACGTGCAGGACATGCTGTGCCGGTCTTTTCAGTCTCGACAGCGCCCCAAGAGTAGTTGCCAGGCTCCGCATCACCGCTCATCGGCCATTATATAGCATGACAGAAACACAGAACCCTGGTATGCGAGACGAAACTCAAATAGCAAGTGCAAACATCGTCCGTGCGAAGGGACGTTGTTCCAGCCAGTCCGGAACCCTAGACCGTAAACCTCAAACACCAAACCGCTTAAGGAACCGCGAAAGAAACCCCTTATAGAAATTTAAACGAGCTCTTAGTGTCCCCTCCGCAAAACAAGACTTCTGCCGCACAGAATCGCATCTGTTGGACAGAAGGGTGGCAACTGTCTGTGACATTGCTTCTATACAAGGATCAAAGAGTAACAGCAATACTAATCATAACATTATCATGATAACACTATCATTGTGATGATGTAACCGGGAGAATAAGAAGACTATTCTATTAATAAGAATAACAGTACCAATAACAAATTAGTGATAATCATATTATTTCCGTATAAACTAACTGGCAAAGTGAAGATGTACAACAATAAAATAAGTTTGCACCGAGACTATGATAATGCATTACACATTGTTACAGAAATATAGTAACACAAAAGTACAACACTATATAATACTGCAATCATACAATACGACAGTATCATAGTAATATGAAATGCCGCAGTGTAGGAACTTCTAAATTTATCGACAATATAGTACTGTAACAACATGGTTTTGTCATAAAGCTGACAGTGTAATAATGTAAGCATTCTTATCATCACAGGTAGTAATTTATGAACCCATATATCACGTATACTTGTAATCCTAAAACGTAGGCTTCTGGGCTCGGGATTAATACTTAGGGGGTCCAGGTTTCTGTTGGGTGTTGTTATCGTTTGTTCCTGATATTTTGGTTTTCGGTTCGATCCATATACAACACTTGCAAAACTCACAGGGATGGCGCCAACTGAGGCTGTATGCGAGGTCTTTTTTGGTGATTTTTTTAAAATGGTTTTCGGCCTACTGGTCTTCGGCGCTGGATCGGTCACTCAGTCTGTAAATCCGATGGGCCGGCCGCCGGCCCGTCCAGTCTACCCGGTTGCCTTCCGTGCCAGTTCAGGCTTTGGGTGTCTCGGCTATGCCCTCACATTTGGCGACAACGGTTCCTCACATGTCTTAAACACGCCCCCTCATTTGGCAATAACGGTTCATCACACATGTTAAACACGACCCTACATGTGGCGATTCCGGTTCATCACAAATCTTAAGCACGCCCCCTCATTTGATGATATCGCTGCATCATGTATGTTAAACGCGCCCCCTAATTTGGCGATTCCGGTTCATCATACATGCTGAACGCACCCCTCGTTTGGCGATTCCGGCTCACCATATATCTTAAACACGCCCCCCCGCCTCCATGTGGCGATTCCGGCATACATGTTAGACACGCCCGCTCATTTGGCGATTCCGGTTTATCCTATATTTTAAACATGCCCCCTCGTTTGGTGATCATGCATGCTGAACATACCCCTCCTTTGGCGATTCCGGCTCACCATATATCTTAGACACGCACCCTCATGTAGCGAGTCCTGTTCACTACATATCCTAAAACGCCGCCCCCTTACTTGGTGATTCCGGTGATTCATCACATATCTTAAACAAGCCCCCTCGTTTGGCGATAACGGTTCATCACACATGTTAAAAACCCCCTTTTATTATTTCGCGATAACAGATCATCCTATATTTTAAACACGCCCCCTCATATGGTGATATCGATTCAATACAAAAAACTCAAGCACTGGCGGACCGACTGACTGACCGTCCGACTGACTGACTGTCCGGCGCATGGACAAACCGACCGACCGCCGGACGACTGACAAACCGGCATGCTCGCGTACCGACCCAGGCACTGACTGACTGACAGGCGGGCTTGCGGACTGACTCGGCGCTTGAAGCCATTCAGGCGAAAACCAAAAAAATACACACAAAAATAACCAAGAAAACTACCCAGAAAGAACGCCCCAACCCGTCATAATTAGGTGCTTGAGCGATTTCTAGGCCGCGTTCTTCCTGACCTCAACGTCCATACATGTATACACCAAAAAAAAGGGCCCTGAACACCGAAAATAGGGCCATTAAATGAGCCCTGACTACAGTCAGGCACGCTGTCTCAAGCGTGGCCTCTCCCGGGGGCAAAGAAGCTGACTGGTCGATCTCAAGACCTTCGTTACAACAATGCTTTGCTACGCTGCTACCCATCGCCGGCGCACCAACAGCCCTGGCAGATGCAATAAACTCTGTAGACCGAACTACAGTCTCAGGATCGGGAATGAGTCGTGTATCACGCTCGCTGCGTCCTGGAATCAACGAACTCACCCTGCAGCCACTCCCTCGGCCGAGGTGCCAAGCATGACAAGGTTCAGCAGGATCAGAACGAAAACACCTCATGGACCAGTCCGGGTATGCACAATGTCAAACCAGCGGCAGCGAGAGACGCTGCATCTACCCAAAACACGACGGCTTCCTTAGAAGAGGACAACCAAGTGGGGATCCAAGAGGGCTGCTCTGGTGGATAAGTTGATGACTTCGATGCAGAAAGGGACTTGAGTGCGTGGTTATGCTGGTACGTATAGACTAGCACCAACCTGGGCAGCCAGCAGAATCTCGAATGATACAATATACAATAATCTTCTGGCAGCCTTCCACAGCTCCCCAAAGCCTGGACTGAACCCCAAGCTCCAAGCCTCAACCCCAAATGGCCCTTTCGGCAGAAGCCATGTAACATAGTACCATCTACGGCGGCTTCGGGTACCCCCCTCCCCTCCCCCCAAAGACCCCCTTAAAGGCCCCAGAGCTTTCTATGCCGGGCGGCTGTAGTTGAAGACGTTGGAGTTGACGCAGATGTTCAGGGTCTTGCGGGCTTTGGTGATCGAGCTGGTGCTCCTCGGCTGAGGCCCCCGAAACGCGATAATCATTGTACTTAGGGTATATCTACAGTATGCTACATAGACTTAGGGGCCTGACAAGAATAGGGCTGGGGGTTTATGTGCAAATGTATGGGGAGAATATTTCTGCTTCTTCCAACCCCCCAACCCCTGTTGTACTGAGCACAGCAGAGAGCACCAGCCTGACTAAAGAAACAAAGGAACCCAGAAAGATTCACATATTCTGTGTTTACGTGTGAGAATGAGTGAGTGAGCGATCCACCGAGAGAATGCATGACTGAATGAACGAAAGCACGAACGAGCGAACCAACGAACAAACAAACGCACGAATGTACAAACGAACGAACGACTGAGTACGGAAATTGAAGGAAAGACTGCGCAAAGGAAGCAATGAAGGACTAAGCAGGCAAGCAATAAGTCGATGATCTAAACATGCGACGAATGAACGATTACATACGAGCGTGCACATGGCTACATGATTACATAATTACAGACATACATACTTTCTTACATACATACTTACATACATGCATACGTACACACATCCGTCCATATGTCATTACATTGCGTCACGGTACACTACACTACATTACATTTCATTACAGTACATTACATTACGTTTTAAATTTCAAACAAACAAACAACCACACAAAGAAACAAACAAACATAAATACATATGGTACACTGGTACACATACACAGCAAGCCATACATACGTACATACGTACATACACACGCCCTGGCCATCCATCCAGCCAGCTAGCGATGCACACATTCACTCATACACACATACATTAAGCTTACATACAGACATTGCATACATTACATGCATTACATGCAACCCATGCATTACGTACCTTATAGGCTTTACATTCCTTACAACCACAACAATGACAACATGCAGGACATACAAAATACACACACACACACACCTAACATGCAGAACTTACATAACATACACAACCTACACGAACTACTCACATCACATCACATCACATCACATCACATCACATCACATACGTACATACATCACATACATCACATACATACATATCTGCATACATACATACATACATACATACATACGAACATACATACTTGTGTGCATGCACACACACATACATACAACTCGTACATACCTCCATATATAGGATCATACCTTTGCACATACGCACATATGTACATACACACGTTGCATACATGCATACATGCATACATGCAGGCATGCATGCATACACACATACATTGACATACATACATGCATCCTTGCGTGTATGCCCATACTTAATTGCATACCTGCGCATGCAGGCGAACAGACAAAGGAGCAGGCGGACAGACAGAACGACTGAAAACGCGGCTACTTGTCACACCAAAACAAGTACACATGCAAATAGACATACACATACGCACGGACGGTCAAGGCTGAACTAGCTAGCCAAGCTTTGAAGCCGCCGGCTCAGAGACTCAAGGTGTGGCCCAGTGGCTCGAAGCTAAGGGATCGCATCTCAAACCTGCCACCTGCAAGGCTTTTCAAAGCTTCGGCGGATGGACAAGCCATCGCGTAGTATCCCTAGAAACCAACACGGGGATTAGATACCGCAAGGCCATAATCGGCTATCATCCCCAGATGATCAACGCAACCTGCCGAAAGAGATGATTTGCTCGGCTTGGGGCTGGGAGTGGGATTTTATCGCGCCCCAGACTAATCCCGGCACGGGAATCTCAAGAGATTCAAAACAAGTTCACAGGATACCATTCAAACTAGAACATGTTTACGCAATTCTATCGGCATGTGCCGTGTCGGGCTTTGGATGCTGCATACCATGTTTTCATTTTACACTTGCAGACTGATTCTGCCGTCCGACGGCACGACTCCTACACTCCACAACAATTGCACTACCTGCAGTGGAAGCTCTCTGAGCATAGACACCCGTAACAGCAAAATGAAACCTAATGATGCCTGCTCGCTGCTCGACTACTTCTCACAGGCCGAGACCCACTCAGCATGGAATCGGCAAAGACTGAACAAGGCAAACCCGCTTGGCAGAGCCTAGTCCAGCAGATGAGCACACACGAATTGCTAAGCCCTTAACTGGACTGACCGCTGAGAGAGTTCGGCCTCCTGATCGCGACATGGCCGACCTTGCGTTCTGGCGGTGTCCCTGGAAGCTTTCCCGCATGAGCTCATCCTGAGAGATCCGGTTGGGGGACATACCAGCTTTTCACCCTTTGCTTAACGGATCCTCGCGGATGGCATGACCAGTGAGCCAGTTCGAAAGATCTTACTGCTTCGTCGTCGTATTTCGACTACAATTCCAATGCTGCGAAGTTGAGAAGACAGTCCGGAGGTCGCCGCTAGGGCCTGCAAAGGGATTGTATCATTGTAAGGTTGATTTAAGTCAGTTTTTTTTAACGAGGGTGCCATAAGGATACTATATTGTAATGATGACAAAGCTTTCAAGTCCACTTCAACATGCAGCGGCGAGCCCCGGACGGCTTTGCCAAGTCTACGGCCTACGGCATGCAAATCCAAGCATCGAGGCACCACCCTGAGAAGCAAAACACACAGAGTCTCGTAAATTGCCTTGCTGCCCTGCGGCCCAATGCTTCGGGTGATCCTCGTCTGAATGTCGCGACTTCACCTTTGTTGCAGGACACGGGGCTTCACCGTTACGTTGGGAGCATGCGGATCGAAGACTCCTCCTTCACCGCACGTTGGCCATAACCAATATTTAGCCTTTCCACAACATGGAATTTGCAGAGCACCGGGCACAATCAGGAGGAATTATGAGGAATTTCGTCAAGAGCATGATCTGGTTTGAGCCCTGAGGCTGCTTGGGAGTGCTGCTCTGAGAATTCAAAGAGGGAGCCCTTCTGGGCTGGTTGAGGTTGTTACGTCGTTGCGGAAGTCGCAGGCACCGTGCCAGGACGGGACGGGAATCTATCGACGTCTTCTGACCTACTTTTGAATGCCTGACAAACGGAAAGGTTAGGAGCCGACAGGCTGATACATCGTTCGATGTCGTGGAGATGCAGTGTTCGATGTCATCTTTCGATGTCATGCAGTGTTCGATGTCCGGGAGTCTGTTTTTGGATGTGCGGGCTTGCAGCCCTCACCACCACAGCACCAGCACCTCAATAAGATAACGGTCATCAGATCATCATCATCATCATCATCACCATTAATTCGTGAATAGCAGCAAGCGTTCCGCCAAGCATTACAGTTCGGCTCCAGTTCTTGGCATCATGATAATGACGATGATGAGCATTGGTTGATTGTTATCATTATTTTGGACTGTTAATCTAGTAAATCTAGTATAACTTTTAGGCCATTATTATTATTATCACCAGATTAAATATGATGATTCATCGATGATAATCATGTTCATAACATGAATTATCACGGTTTCTTTGCGAAGGAAACCCACGTGGAAAGCAACTGCAGGCCGAAAGTCGGAGGACCGCGCCGCGCTCTTCCTCGAGTTGTCCACCTCCTCGGCGGGGCCCTAATTTGTTGGTGGCGTCAGGGTGGTTAGGGTTTAAGGGTATTTAAGGTTTAGAGTTTAGGGTTTAGGGTTTTTGAGGTTTAGAGTTCTTAGGTAATTTAGCAGGTTTAAGGTTTAGGATCCGGTTTCGGGCTCGGAAGCCTATGAACTGAAAGTCTCTTTCCGTCATAACGACCCAGGAGAACGGCTTGGGGGAATTGATATCAGCTTCTCAGAATTGCAGATTCTATTATATATTATGTGTACATGGTATCATAGTATATTTACGTCGTGTTATAATACTATATGCTATTTTATAATGTTATATGATATTATATGATGTTATATGATATTATATGATATTATATGATATTATATGATATTATATGATATTATACTATACTATACTATACTAACTAACTATTATACTATGGTATATATGCTCGACTTCGAGAGGCTTTGGAGGTTCAAGGCTTTGGGATCCTGAAGCTTCGCTCGCCCGGGGCTGAATGTTACTTGGGGCGCCGGGGCCTGCGGCTTTTCAACTCCATTGTGTGTTAGGCGATTCTGTGGTAGTGCCGTAGTACGCTGGAGCTGAGAGGCTAGCTGAAGATGCTGATGAGTCTTCTTCTTGTTACGGCCATTCGCGCTGGCATTGGCCCTAGTAGAGGCCATCCGAACGCATCCGCTCTGCAAACACCTAAAGCCTAAACCCTAAACTTTAAACACTAAAGCCTAAACCCTAAACCCTAAAGCCTGAACCTATAAAGCCTCAAGAGCCCAAAGGAGAGCCCCGAAAGCATCGACCCGGAGGTCCGCCTCCGGAACCTCCCACATCTTGTTGCTGTTCTCCGAAGTGGGGCTGAGGTCGGGATCCTGAAAGGAGGCTTTATAGGGTTTCGGGTTTATGGGCTTCGGGTTTAGAGTTTAGGGTTTAGCGCTGCGACAGCTTGAGGATTCAACTGCGAATTTGGGTGCTCTCATCGGGGCCTTCAATTTTGCACTTCAGGTATCTACCTGAGCTCCTGGCGGGCCTAGCAGCCACAGGGACTTTGAATCTGCTTCATAACATATATGGGCCAAGTCTCTAAGCATGGAAATACACGAGAGCTGTAGAGGAAACTCCAGGAGGAGAACTCGCCGGACGAGCAGACCCGCCGACATAACTCAATCGACTGAATTTGTTGTTAGCATAATGGTGAAGTAGCGCTGATGCCACTCCACTGTCATGGCTACCCTTAGGCAACTTTGGCACTAGACTTCAGCGGGTCTTAAAATGGTCGCAGCACAATATGCCTTGATTGCAAGATCAGCTTCTGTTGCATTCGCATGCTGGGATTGCGCTTCCCGCTACTATCGCTCCTTCTGCAAACTTTGCTCCGTTACTCTATCCTGAGCACACCTGGTGTTGAGAACAATGCCAATCAACTCACACGGCTCCTACTACAGGTAGGATTCCATGCAGGGAAAGCATCTCTTGTGATTGGTGCGGCTACTTCGATGACAAAGTCTGTTGCAGCGCATTCCTTTTCGTGCATTCTTGTTGCCGGTAATCTGACAGCAAGGCGCTGCAGGTGGAGCATACGCGGGAGATGATGCCGACGGCTTCTCAGAGAGGCTGTCCGTCTCCTTTTCAAAGCAAAGCGCTTGACACTCATGGTGAAGGATTCTGGGTGTCGGGTGTGGTTTTCAATGTGCCCAAATGATCACAAGTTCCGCCTGTAGGCTGAAGAAAAAACTTGACTGTGGCATGGCCTTATGATCGAGCTAGCAGGCGACAAGTTTGAACAAGGGCAAGTCTAGTTCTTGCTAATCATGCTCACCAGCCGTTCTTCAAACAACGGTTTGCCATTGAAGGACGAAAAGAGGGGAAACAAATCTTGCTGTCTCGAATGGCCGAGCTGGCGACAACTGGGGCTGCCAGATTACCAGTCATACTAGTCGTCATCTGGGTACGTATTTGCAATGACTACTGCATTATAACAAGAGCTTCATGCCTGGGCAAAACAAACCGAACCGAGGACATGGGCATGCGAAAAGATATCCTATATACGCAAAGACTCGAGGCAAACTCCAGACACTGTGGGTCTTTCGCCAAGGTACACGACCCCTATGGGACGAAGGAAGCTCTCTTCGTTGCGATTTGAGTGAGCGCATGCTTCGTAGATGGAGGTGGGGTAGTCAAGCGCTAAAGCAACGGGTTGCAGCATCCGGGGCATCAAGCCTTTGATTGGCTGCGAATCATGAAAATTCCGAAATGCTTGCAACTTAGTCTGTTCACGGGGTTTCCTTGCCTTGCACCTCAGGCTGAGACATCGAGGTAAGCAAGAGTCATATTTGCAGGAGCACCGCTAGACTTTGTTCAGGCAAACGGCAAAGACCCATGTCGCATAATCTGACCTCGAGCATCCAGGATACCATGACCGGATCAATCCTTACAACACCCGTGCCCCCGTGTGTCTAGATGATCTTGAACCCTTCAGACTGGTAGGCTAAACAACTCAACACCCTAAGCCCTAAACTGAAGCTTCATCCCCGCAAGCCTAAGCCTAAACCTTGAAACCGTAAGCCCTGAACTGCATCAATTCCCAAGCCCGGTGTCCGAGTTCAGCAGCTGCGGTCGAGGCCTTCCGGGTGCTCCCGGCTTCTCTGTCTGCGGACTTGTCTGTGGACCCATCCTCGCGCTCCTCAGTGCAGTCAGACGACTCGCTGCTAGCAGAAGCCGCAGCACGAGTAGGAGGTGGTCCAGGAGGATGAAGAAACAGCGATGAACAAACCACTATTGTAGTATGAGGCCAAAGCAGTACCAGCACATCATACTGCACAGACCTCTGCTGGCACAACCTGTCTTGGACCAGGCCACGCCGGTTGACTCCAAGCCACTTTCGCCGCCATCTGCAGTCCTAGCTGATTCGACATATTCTCACTTTCAGAAACATATGATCATGTGGATATAGGACTCATATTGATAGAGCATTGCAGACAGAGTCGAGTACTCGGTGTGAGGGGCTTACGCAACTGTCCATGAGTAGATTGTGCATTTGGATAGGTTAGATGGGCCAATACCTCTCCTGTGACAATGACGAGGCTGGCAAGGTCTCCGAGGGCGAGGACAAGCCGATTCTAGTCTTCGATGTGAGCTATCTGAGAAACTGAAGGCAGCGCATGATATCATGAGAAAGACACGAGTCAAGCCAAGCGACGCCTTTGTCTACACATGTTGTGGGTTTGGCACAGTAATTGGTGCAAGGATTTCTGCACAATGGCTACATTTGTGGTGCACGCGGCTCTGAGAGGACGGCATGGCCTGCTACTCTGTGCAAAAAATCCGCAGTGATAGCTTATGGTTTCTTGCAACTCTTGTATCTGGGATGATGCCAGATCCTAGGGCCAAGCAGCATCCACGCCGTTAACGCGCAAAGAGCCAGTTACAACAGAGTGGCAGAAGCTGCTTGCGGTCTGGGGGTACCGCAAGGGCTCGGACCGGGAGCCCATCTATCTATCTATCTGTCTATCTTTCACTCATATATATATATATTTATTTATTTATGTTTATATTATATATGTACACTTTTAGATTACACTGTGTATATATATATAATATTATAAAATCTGGGTCCCGAATCCCCAGGCTCGAGCCCGTTGCAAGTCCGAGCTCTGAGGTCCTTCCACTTGGTTCGTGAGGACCCGAAGCATCCTCGACCCAGGCTTTACGGTTCAGTGCCTATAGGGTAACTGGGCTTTAGGGTTTCAGGAAGGGACGGGAGGCAGCGAGTTGCCTGTCGTGATTCGTCCTTCTTCCGGTGTACTTCCACACACCGCATCTGTACTTCCGGTATAACGCAAGTAAAGATTGCAAAGGAAAGCTGCTGACCCCTCAGTGTTGTCGGAAGCCGTTAGGGGGGTCACGGAGCGAGACTTCAATCTAAAGGCAGGGTTGATCTGGAGAAGTGGTTCAACGAAGCAAGCATGCAACACCATCCGCTGCTTGCGTGTGCAGCATGTAGCAGCTTTTGAGTCTAAGGGTCACTTCTTCAAGCTACCCGCCCGAATGTTGTGGCTCTGACCTGGAGATTTTTGTTACGTTCCATAAGCCTTACGACCCTGTCGTAAAGGGGCACTGGGACGTCTGCGTGCAGAGCTCGAAGCCAGCATTGCAAACACCAGGCCATCGATGGAAATCCCCGGGCACCCTCCATGTTGCGGCAAATATTCTGCCAATGTGGCGGTTGCTGATCTTCTGCTTGTTGCTGGTGGTCATCAGAATCACTAACTTCTTTAAATTATACGGTGGCAATACTTCTCCTTTCCGTTTATCGCGAATTCATGGCGTGCTGGTGCGAAGTGGTTTTGCTAAAGTATCAGCCCACAGCCCTGGATCGTTGCAGCAGGGTGGCTGCGACTGCTCTTCAAATTTGGTCTCCAAGAACTGACCTTTGAAAAGTCAGGGCTTCAGGGCTGAACATAGCCGCGACATACAAGAGCAAGAACGTGTGACAGAGTCAAACTCCACCAATCTCGAGGACGACGAAAGGTCGACGAGCGCTCCTACCACCACCGCTGTTGCTTGCTACCGCTCGTTCTGCTGCTGCTACTGCCAATGCCACTGCTTCTGCAACTGCAAACTACTGCTGCTGCTGCTGCTGCTGCTGCTACTACTACTACTACTACTACTACTACCACTACCACTACCACTACCACTACCACTACCACTACACTACCACTACTACTACGACGACTTCGACTACCACGACCACGACAACGACGACGACGCCCACTACTACTCCTATTACTCCTGCCCTTGCTGCTCCTCCTACTCCTCCCACTACTCCTCCTCCTCCTCCTCCTCCTCCTGCTACTGCTAGCGCTACTGCGACTGCGGCTGCTACTAATGCTGCTCTAGCTATTGCTTGGCATTAGTATTACAGCGACGATGACAAGCTTGCTGGGGCCAGTGCAGTTTTCTCCAAACCTCAGAACCAACCCCATAACACCCCGTAGAAAGCCTTGTAAATTCCTCACCAAGGCAAGTCCAAACGATGACCCGGATCTTATGCGAGCGCTTTGGCGGGTGCAGGTGCGACATGAGAATTCTACGTATACGATAGGGTTTGTAGTAGGGGCGTTTGTTAAACATCGCAGTTTCGCGCAAGAGTGTTTAGAGTCGCTCATTTCCTGCAACTTCCCTAGGTGGGTTCCGACTGCGAAGCTCTAAGTTCGACGGTTTTGGGGGGACATCATCTGCAGTTTCCGGGTTAGGGTATGTGGGGTTCAGACTATTTTCGGATGAAACTCGGCCAAGGGTTTAGATGAGGACCTAAACTCGAATCCCGATCCCAAGCGATGAAGTCAGAAAGATGCTAAGGGTTTTAGGGTTTAGGGTTTACCCATAGGCTCCTTAGTAGTTCCTTTTTGGGATTGCCTTATAGGATTCTAAATATGAACCATAAAAAGGAACTACTTATTAGGAGCTTATGGGTAGCGAGACCCCTCCAAAGGGTGTAGGACGAGTTTCCTTCCGCCGCGTCGCTGTCTTCCTCCTTGGGTGGGCTGTGAGTGTTCCGTCCTTGCTGGGATTGCAGCTCAGTGGCTCCGGAGGCCTCATGCCATGGAGCCGAAACCCGTACAGAAGCCCAAGCCAGAAATCTTAAACCCTGAACCCCAAGGCCTGAACCCCAAGCCCCTAAACCCCTAAACCCCTAAACTCTGACCCTAA